AAAAATATTAAACATATATAATTTATTTAAAAAAAGAATTTATTTTTATCGAATATTAATGTATCTATGATATTACATAGATATAATAACTTAATAAAATTTCTTCAACAAATATTTGAAATGAGTTCTTATTAAATACTTGCTTACGTCTCCACATTATATTGAATTCTTACACGTTTATAAAATGATCAAAATAACCATCATGTATTGTACTTTTAAAACTTTACAAATTTTGATTTTTTTATTTCAATATACGAGATATATATATACATAATATATATATATACCTTTAGAGACATATTGACAAATAAAACACAAAATTAAAGTATTGGCTATTTTGCGATATATTTTTTTTGTATCTGTGATACATAATCTAATTTATACTTAGCACCTTCTTCAAAACTGAAGAGAATTTCGTGAAATCTTACCAAGTGGCAGTAGAGCTCTTAGAATCTCGGAAATTATCTAAATCAATATATAGTTTTCTTGTATGAAATAAATTTCTATCCATGGAAGCATTATCTATTGTTCATAATATTATTGTAATAAATGCTAAAAATACTAATAGAATACTCCTCAAATATGCTTGTCCAGCAAGCTGTTTCATAGAACAACTTCATAGTGTTTTTCTGTTTATAAGCAAACTTTTCCAATAATGTGCAAGTATAAAATTATTGTGTTTATTAACTACTTGTCATAATACAAGAAATATAACAATAACTCATATTTTCTAAATCTCTTATGGTTTTATATTACTTTAGATGTATGTATAATATTATTTCTATGATACTAAGGCAGCAATAATAAGGGACTTTAAGATTCCTATATCTTTATCTTTGTTTATTTTTAAATTATATATAGACAAAAATAAATTTATCATTTCCTGATACACAGTTACTTAAAAACAAGAAATAATTTTATATACTATACAAACTTATGTAAGGATTCCCTCAACATTATGAATAGTACATTACATAAAATATCTTCATGTTAGTGGACATCCAAATTCTATTTAACAAATACAAGGTGACCCAAAAGATATGAAATCACATAAAGATATTTAAGATTATTTCAAATTAAGAAGTACTAGGCTAATAGGTTAATTAAATTAACAATAAAATCTCTATTTCTAAAAATATAGAATTTTCAGCTATTTTATTTATCAATAAACATATGAAATATGTATAGAATTTTTTCACAGTTTGCAATTTAAACATTATAAATTGTACGAACATAAGAATAATAAGTAATTGAAATGGGAAAAGATTCTATAAAATTCACAATATAATTACTCTACAAATCAGCTTAAAAACCAAAAGTAAACCTTCTACCATGAAGACGAGAGGATATATATCACAAATATAATTTATGAATTAAATACTCAGAAATGCCACTGTTACATAAATAAATCTAAAATAATATTATAAACGTTTCATAATCATGACATATATAAATTGTTGAATCGATAAGTAGTCAAACACATAATAGTAATAATTTTGCTTCGAATGTATGTTGTTACGCTGAAAATTATATATTAAATTTTTACAAATTGAATTCCATTAGAAGATTAAAGAAGCATATTTGTAAAAGGTTCTATGATTTCCCGCAACTGTAAAGACTGAAAACAATATTAAATAGTTTTAATCACTCTATACATATACTTGAACATTTTTCATATGAAAGTGATATATGTTAGTGACATTTACTTACATTTGTCCAATATATGAAAAAGAAACAATGCTTATTCTTGAAAAATCCAAGTCCGTGTATAACGATGCCTGTTTTGTCCTCATAGAGTGATTCTCTATTTATAATAATCAAATCCCCGGTTTGCATTTGTTCTACTTACATACACATCATACAATATTCATAATATACATTATAAATTAATAA